CCTATTAAGAATAATTTATCATCTTCTAATATAACTTTGATCACTGAAAGTACATGTGGGTATAGAAAGAACACATAAAACATTTTAAAAAGTTATTCTTAACTTTAGTGCCTTTCCCGTCCTCTGTCTGCTATGCACTGAAGATAACTCTTGAGGCATTAATGATCAGTTACATATACTGTTTGCTTGTCACATATGAGTAATAAGTGGACATACTAGGGGCTCGATCCAGGCATGCTTTGGTTGGCCAAGAACTGTGGCTAAAGAAAGAAAAGAAAAATAGATCTGCTTCTTGGGGAACTTTTTTGTAAATTGACAACAGCTAACATTTACCAAGAATATGTGTGAATACATTAAGTGATTATCTTGTTTAATCTTCAAAACATCAGTAAACCAGAAGCACTGTAAAGAAAAATGAGGTGGCATCCTAAGTAAATCCACCCTGATTTAAATAGAGTTGGGACCCACGTTTAGACTGTCCCAGAGCACTTATGCTTCATTCCCTATATGTCATTAGATTCCTTTTACTTGACAGACATTAGACAAATTAGGTTCTGAGCTTCCTAGCACCTTAAACACACATGCGAATGAATCTAATGCATAATTCAGTGGAATCATATGTTAAAAATAAACAAGCTGCCAGCAGAAGCTCTGCTATCTGGAGTGCTGAGCCTGGGAGGAAGCATGCCCATGGTCTCTGCAATGGGGGAACCTTATAAAGAATGCAGAAAGCCACCCCACAAACAACACTACTCCAGCAAATGCAAGCATGCGTTTCAAGCGTCTCAAACACAAGTAAGTATAAGTCGATTGCACTGATTTGAGCTGTGGTTGAGTGAAAACACGTCTACAGAGTAAATACAAAGATGGTGATCGTCTTGTTTAATCCATTGATAAAATGCAAGCTACATAGATGAATGAGGAGACTGCATATCATTCAGGCAGTCCTCCCTCAATATTACATCTTGCCTCTACTTTGCTGATTAATACTGGCTGGCAGAAATTGTGATGTTCATGTTATATGATGAGTAACAGACCACAGATATTTGGTGTGACTAAATCAGGACATATCTGTATGTTCAAAAGCATGCATAATTTTGGCATCTTCTCAGAAGCTGGGATGCCTAAGCAGAGCACTTACCTAAATAGGCTACCATTGCATCCATGCGAAAAAAGTGCAAAAGGAGATATCTTATAGCCAGCATCTAGATTTTCCTCAGGACAAAAACTCCGTTTCTTTTCAATACATAAACAAAAGTCTTATTGAAAGGATAATATCTCATTCTAGTCATAAAGCTTAACCATTAAAAAACAATAGTCGTAAAATATTTAAGTTTATGCTGTAAAGTAAACTTGCAGGTAACTAATAATTGTTGGACTCTCATTCAAGGTCAGTGAAATGGCAAAGCATATAGTTCATAATAGTTGATTTTAAGTAATTCCTTCTTATTACCACTAGTACATGAGCCTCGATGAGAACATCATATTGTGAGCAATAGTTTTTATCATCCTCTTCTCACAGGCCAGTAAACCAAACCCCGGAGACCTCATGTACATTACCAAAAGTGACAGATGAGTGTGGACCCACCACAGGAACGCCGACACTCGACCTGGTATTGTGACCACTAAATCTTCTGCCTCACTATTGGCAACTTACATCAGATAGATAAAATTCATAGATATTTGGAGCCAGAAAAAATCTTGGGGACAGATGCAAACCATCATATCTTTGAACACTGATTGACACATGCATCCCTGGTGAGAAGCAGTTGGACAGCCAACCACACCAAGGGGCATCTTTAGAGGCAGGATTCACAACCCTGTATGCAGCAGCCCATTCTATTTAGGAAGAAATTCTAATTTTTACATTTTTGCTTGTTTTTTGTTTAGTTAAATGAAATCCATACGATATTATTTTAAGAGTCTTTCCCATATTGGATCAGATTACACCCAAGTGTCCCAGGACCTCTTTGGAGTCACAGCTATAAAAGTCTAACCTCCCTTTTGTCTGACAGTGATGCAAATATTTACAGAGAATTGTTGTCATCTCTAACACTTGCAATTCTTACCTTCACAAAACAAGGTAAACTTAATATCTTGAAATCTTCAAATTTCCTCATTACCATGTCTGCGCTGGGCAGTTATCCTTGAGTTTTCAGTGTTCTATGTCAACTTGTGGACATGGCTCACAGTTTTAGGAGTGTCCTTCTGTTCAGAGTACTGACCTACCTTACAGCCCCTTCTCTGTTCAAAACGCCTGTGTTAATGCCATCCACTTTCTAATTACATGTTGGTCATCACACTGGTGACATTTACCTTTTAAACTTGAATCAGTGATTCTTCGTACAATAAAAATGTCTCAGCTATATTCACAATTTCTCACTGTTTACTAATGCAGATTTTCTTGAAAAACATTGTGATGGCTTTAAAATTGAGAAAACAATTTTATAACTTCACCAAAGACTCTCAGGAAATAAAGATTTGCACTAATAATAGATGAATTAAATAACTATAGATCAGTGTCAGCAGGGGTTGTGGGGGCCATTGCTAAAATCTTCCTTTGTCATTTTAGATGAAGACTTGATGGACCTTATCTAAAATGAGAACTGGAAAAGAGAAAGAGCCAGTGTTGGGAGAAGAGGGGGCTGGAAATGGAAGTGAAAATTAGTGTAATTGTTAGGACGAGAATCTAGAGCAGGGGTGGGCAAACTTTTTGACTCGAGGGCCACAATGGGTTCTTAAACTGGACCGGAGGGCCGGAACAAAAGCATGGATGGAGTGTTTGTGTGAACTAATATAAATTCAAAGTAAACATCATTACATAAAAGGGT